GTAGCATCTTTATTTATTTGTATTTGTTCTGTTTTCCTGATGTGGGAACTCAGTGCAATAAATTTTCCTCTCAGGACGGCTTTCATTGCATCCCACAGATTCCGGTAAGTTGTATCTGCATTTTCATTTTCTTGTAGGTATTGTTTAATTTCTTATTTAATTTCTTCTGTGACCCACTGATTACTCAATCAGTGTTATTCAGTTTCCATGTGTTTGTGGGATTTTTGCAGTAACTTTTATCATTAATTTTTAATTTCAGTGCGCTTTGATCCGATAACATGCAAGGGATGATTTCAACTATTTTGCATTTGTTTAAATATGTTCTGTGAGCTAAAATATGGTCTATTTTAGAGAATGACCCATGTACTGCTGAGAAGAATGTGTATTCTGATGTTATTGGGTGGAACATTATGTATATGTCTATCAAGTCTATTTGTTCACAGTTGTGATTCAATTCTGTTATTTCTTTACTTATATTCGGTCTGGTTGATCTGTCTCTTGGTTTCAATGGAGTGTTAAGGTATCCCGTTACAATTGTGTTACTGATAATTTGAGTTTTCATTTCTATTAATAGCTGTTTTATATAACTGGGTGCTCTGGAGTTTCCTGCATATATATTCAAGGTAGTTATCTCTTCCTCTTGGAGTTTTCCCCTAACAAGTATGTAGTGACCTTCTTTGTCCATTATGGTCATTTTTTGTTTAAAGTTCACATTATCTACAAACAGAATGGCTACTCCTGCTTTCTTTTGGATTCCTGCTTAGTGAAGTATTGTTTTCCACCCTTTGATTGTCCGTCTGTGAGTATCCTTCTGGGTTAGATGGGTTTCCTGTAAACAGCATAAGGTTTGATTTTGTTTCTTGATCCATTCTGCTAGTCTGTTTCTTTTGATTGGTGCATTGAGACCATTTACATTAATGGTTATAATTGTTATATGATGGTTTATTTTTGACATGTTATCTCTCTGCTGTTGCATCATAATCTTTCTGTTCTGTTTAATTATCTGCTTTACTTAGTGGTTTTTTTCTTTGTGTATCTAAACTGTCTCTCAATATTTTTTGCAGGCTTGGCTTGGTGTTCATGAAGTTCTTCAGCTGTTATTTGTCATGGAATTATCATATTTCACCATCAATTTTGAATGATAGTTTTGCAAGATACATCAGTCTAGGTTGGAAATCATTTTGCTTTAGGATCTGAAATACTTCACTCCATGCTGTTCTTGACTTTATTGTTTGTGCTGTGAAGTGTGCTGTGATTCTGATACGTTTTCCTTTATAAGTGATCTGTCTTTTCTCTCTGTCTGCTTTTAATAATCTATTTTTGTGTTAGATTTCTGGGACAGTGATTATTATATGTCTGGGTTTGGTTTAATTTTGCTTATGACTATTTGGAATTCTATATGCTTCACTGATCCTGATGTCTGTTTCTGATCTCATACTTGGGAAATTTTCAGATATTACTTCTCTAAATATCCTCTTGACATCCTTTATGTTGTCCCCTTCTTTTTCATTAATCCCTATCAATCTTATGTTATTTTTCTTTGCATCATCTTGCAGTTGTTGAATTGTTATTTCGTGATTCTTGTATTTTTTAAAAGATCTTTCATTTCCTGTTCACTAGCTGCAGTCCTATCTTCAAGGTCTGAAATTCTGTCTTCACTTTCATTGAGGCAGTTTTTATAGCTTTCATTGGAGTTTTTTATTTCCTGTATATCTCTGTGCATCTGCTTTATGTATTCTGTTTGTTTCTTATATTTCTCATCTAGGGATTCTATCTTTTTGTTTATTTCCTCCAATTTTTAACTGTTTTCTTTAGATATATTCAGAATCTCTTTCATTTCTTTTATCATTTCTTCTTTTACCTTGGAGACTATTTCAAGTTTGAATTCCTTTAAAGCTTCCTGGAGTTGCTTGTTTATTTCAGTAGCTATTATGTCCAATATTTGAGGTGTATGGCATATATTTTCTTCTATATACATTGCTCCTAGGGTTTCTTTAGATGGGCTGGAGTTTTGAGGTTGTAATTTGGTCTTTCATTTTGTCATTTTCCTATATTTCTGTGTTTCCAGTGTTATTTGAAAGCTTCCTCAGGGTCTGTTGGAAATCCACTTCTATATTCGCAGCTCCTGGGACTCTGGCTCCCAGTTTCCCCAGGCCGCTGGGCCTCTAGAACCAGTGGCCCTCTTCTGCCTATTTAGAACTCCATAGTTCCAGACAACTGGGCTCCAGGGACACTATGCTCCTGCCTGCTTGCTGGAAACTCCACAGTTCTCCAAGCATAGCCAGAATGGGAAGGTGGATGTAAGCGCCCACTTAGCCACTTCACTGCACTCGGAAGTCTGGAGGGTTCCGAACAGTCTGGGCTTGGGGCAGAGTTTACTGGGCACTTACCACAGGCCACAGGGCCTCTGGAACTGGTGATGCTTGCCTGTTTGCTGAGAAATCCACAGTCCTCCAGACAACCGGGGAAGCGGATGCAGGTGCCCCAGATCTGCCCAGCCCTTGCTCTGCACCCAGATGGTGCAAGAGTCCCAAATAAGCTGGGCTCTGAGGGTAATGTGCACCTGCCTGCTTGTTGGAAACTCCACAGTTCTCTGAGAACAGCCGGAATGGGGAGGCGGTTGTAGATGCCTCAGACTCACTTAGCCACTTCACTGCACCCAGAAGCCAGGAGGGTTCCGAACTGTCTGGGCTTGGAGCAGAGTGCCCTGGGCACTTACTGCAGGCTGCGGGGCCTCTGGACCTGGTGATGCTCACCTGCTCCCTGAGAAATTCACAGTCCTCCAGACAGCCGGGGAGTTGGATGCAGGTGCCCCAGATCCGCCCAACCCTTGCTCTGCACCCGGAAGGTGCGAGAGTCCTAAAAAGGCTGGGTTCCAGGGATAGTGTGCGCCTCTCTGCTTGCTGGAAATTCTACAGTTCTCCAATGCCCTGATTTCTAAAGGAAAGAAAAGCTCCTGCTTCTCACAATAATTTCCATTCAGAGAGTCAGGGTGGAGCAATTTGGATGGGATGATTGGATGATCCCATGGCCTAAGAAGAGATGCTACTCTTAGAACTCAGAGGAAAGTAGTTGGTGGAGAGTCCTTCCTTGGATTCAAGCATTTGATCTCTCAGGGAAGCTTCTTGTTTTGGTGTGGTGGGATTATACTCAGTAGAGTGCGGGTTTTGCTGTTCTGGGCTTCGAGGATGGCTCGTAGGGTCCAGAGGCACCTTTGGCTATCAAGGTCCAGTGGAGGCACACTGCTGACCTCTAGTATGAGGAGGCCAGTGATGCCTCTCAGCTTCCTGGAGTGTCCAGGACAACTGCTCCTAGAATGGACCATCCATCTCAAAAGACAGCAGTGCAGAAGTTAAGAAATCTTGCTTACATGCACTCCAGAGACCTGAAATGGAACTCATTACCTTCGCTGTCTAATTGGTATGTAGGGACTCCTTCACGGAGGCTCAATTAAACAATATTAGTGAGTATCTAAGCACAGGTTCATAGAGGAGAGTTACAGAAGGACATTGACTATGGCTTCGGCATGGAGGGCTGATAAATAATTAATGTGGAAGTTGAGGAAGCATGCATAAAACCCAAAAGTTCTGCCTCAGAAACAGAATGGATGGTGGCCATAGGCTGCCTTGGATGGGCAGCCTTTACTCTGCCGCTGTTTCTGGTAGGAAACCACAGGAGCAGAGGCCCACTGCAGAGCTCTAGAAAATGACAGTGTCACTCAAGAGAACCATTGCAAGGAATTTGAAAGGTCGCCCTTGACCCAGATCCAGTGGGATTCCAAGAATTCCCTCTGATGCTAAAACAGCTTGTATTCCCAGCAAGTGACACAGGGGTTCTTTCTTGGAGAAACAGCCTCCTGAAAGAGGCGCCGGGTTGTGACATCTGCAGATAATGCAGGGCATGGCGATGCATGCCTATAATCACAGCTCCTCTACAGCTGAGGCAAAGGGGTGGCAAGTTTGTGACCAGCCTTAGCAACTTAGTGAGACAGTATCTCAAAAGAAAAAGGGTTGGGCCTATAGCTCAATGGTAACGAACTTGCTTAGCATGTGGGAGAGCCCTGTTTTGTTTTTATATTCCCACTACTTAAGCAGAAAAAGCAAAGAGAGAAAGGGAAGGTGATGGGAAGCTAAGAGAGGAAAAGTAAGTGGAGACACTCGCAAAAGAGGTTTGACTTTATTGTTTGTGCTGTGAACTACTTCATCCTCTGCCTCTCTTTAGTAAGGACCTCGGATTGCATTGGTCCAACTGGATAATCCAAAAAAAATTCCTTATCTCAGTATCTTTACTCCCACCTGCATAATTCCAAAAATTGGCACATAAGCCAACATACCAGGTGCAAAGTATCATGAGAAATGTTTAAATTGTAAAAATGGATAAAAGACACCCTGCCGTGAGGACCCGCAGGACCCTCCCCCTGGCTTGGCACACACTTTTCTGTCACTCGGCACCTTCTGCAGCAGCTCTGGTGTCCTCTTTCCTGAGTGTCTTTAGTTCCATTGTCCTGGCTGCCATAATGTCCTGTATCTATTCAAAATGTTGACTTTTCGTGGTCGTTTGGACTTGGGCATGAGCCAGAAGTCATGTAGTCCCAGAATCATTGGAAAATGTGGATGAGGAGGAAACTCTTGTGATTATTATTATTTTTTTATCCAGCCTACCTTTCTATTGCATGACACGTGGCAGCAGTACCTGCCCATTCCTTACCACACTCATGGTCAAGACCTCCAGGAAAGAGGACTTGCAGAACTGTTTCTCAGAAAGTGCCAGAAAAAAGGACTGAGTGTGTTGGAAGCAAAGGGAAAGATTTTGAGAGGGATTCATGACAGCCTCTCTTTTAGTGTAATCACTTTTCATTGTAATTTAAACACACACTATGTTTTGACCAGCCCCAGTATGCATGGGTACTAGAGAACCTCATGCCTGGGAGAACAGCCTTTCTCAGTGTGCTCTGTGGCAGCACCAGGCCATTCTCTGAGGCATGCATGGTGTAGACCCCCATGGAGCGACTGCAGAATGTGATTCTCCATGTGGCTACCTATTCCCACAGCTCTGGTGGGACCCACCCATCACAGTCCCACTCCACCCTGGGTGCCAGCTCTCTTCTTTCTCCATCCCTGATGCCACTGGTTGTGGATAGGTCTTCTCTGCCTTCCTTAGTGCCTACCTGCCAAAGGGAGAGAGAGATATGTCCTCGAGTCTAACCCACAGGCAACTAAACCCACCAACATGGTGATGAGAGGGGCAGGCAGGTGCTACTGAGCCTTGCAGCGCTGGGGTATGAGGATCCCCTTTCTTGTTGAATATCATCAGCAATGTCTGTAGGCCTCAAGCCACTGTCCACCCCACATATTCCTCCAGCACATTATTCTTCCAAGGCATGAAATGCCACCAGGCTAGTGCGTGCTGAGATACTGCATGTAGGTGACAGTGATTCTCTTCCTGTGATACACAGAACAGCACACAGCACTGCCCTGGGCTGCTAAGCCTTGCACTTTTAGTTTTGAAGGGTGGACATGTTTCCTTTTTAAAATCTGCCAAACATGAACTCGATTCACTTTAAAAAGATTATGACATTGCAGATTTATTCCTAACAAAGGACCTGCCTTTCCAGGGTTCAGAGAACAAACTCTTAGCTCAAGAAGGAAATGGCTTTCAACAAAAGGCTGATGGGAAGTGACAGTGTTTTCATTTTTCTCAGCAGATCACCCATTTTGGGTATAGGTTGGGACAGAGAAGTCATGGCTAGCACCTGAGAGGAAGCCATGTGTTTTGGAAACAAATGTGCAAGAAGTAGATGATCAAGCTTTTCTATCCTTGCTGTTTTCTTAGCCCTAAGAGCCTTTCAAGCATGTCCTCCCTGGAGGAGGCGGGATGTAAGAATGTCTCTTTCAAAGTGTGTGCCAGATGAATGAGGCTCTGAGAGAGGGAGGAAGGCAAGCCGTGTCCTTCACCTCTTTTGTCTCCTTGCCCGCTACAGGAAGATGTGGGTTGGTCTCCTCTTAGTGCTTCTGTGGGAAGCCAAAAGCCAGCCAGCATCGAGGCCAAACATAGTCCTGTTGATGGCAGATGACCTTGGCATTGGAGATCTGGGGTGCTATGGAAACCAGACGCTCAGGTATGGAACTGCAGCTGATGGATGAATTCCATAGGGGGTGTGACAACAGTCTCCACAGGTGATTAACACAGAGACACTGCACAGAAACGTTGAAAGCCCTCCATAGAAGAGAGGCATTCAAGATGAATTTTGTTTGCTCATGCAATAATGGGGAAATGATGGCCTAAGGATAATTGGGTAGGGAGCTTCATTCCACAAAATTTAATGGGGACCAAATTAAAAAGGAGGCATGAGGGACCCATCGTCAGTGCCAGGGGGTGGTGATGGCTGGTGTTCCTTGAAGAGGCTGAGTCCTTGCTTTTCCCTGGGGATGTGTGGAAATTTGGCCAAGATAGGAACACTGGCTGAATCTTGGATGTGATTGAAAGGAGATGGGTTATCTGAGTGCTCAGGGACCCGAGGTAATGGGGAGGACAGCTAACTGCCACTGTTGTAGGACTTGATCCCTCCCTTGTAACCCAGAGATGGAGGGACCGAGTGCTGAGGTACCCCGGAAGGTGTGGGTGGGAGCACGTGAGTAGCTGTTTTCCTCTGTTAGCATCTTAGTTCTGGCTCTGAGCAACCAGATGGACTGAAGGTCATCCTAAAGGAGATGGTTCTCTCATTCCAGGACCCCCAACATTGACAGGCTGGCTGGTGCAGGAGTGAAACTCACACAGCACCTGGCCGCGTCACCCCTGTGCACGCCCAGCAGGGCAGCCTTCATGACAGGCCGCTACCCCATCCGCTTAGGTAACTTTCTGTGTGTGGCTGGCTCTTGTCCTCCTCCGGGGCCAAGGTTCTGCTGGTTCTTAAAGGTGCATTTTCTTGCTTTAGGAATGGCCTCTCATAGCCGAATGGGAGTTTACCTGTTCACTGCTTCTTCTGGAGGACTTCCCACCAGTGAGGTGACATTTGCCAGACTTATGAGGGAACAGGGCTACGCAACAGCACTGATCGGTATGGGATAGGTCGGAGCTGGGAAAGGGTAGGGAGAAAATGGGAGAGGCTTTGGGCAACTGCAGAGGGATGTCACTGATAAACTTCACATTCCTGTGAGGACAAAATGCTCTGGGCTATTTGGCTATATAGAAGTACGTGTATGTGTGTGCATGTGTGTGGGTGTGTAAGAACGAGGTGGAGAGATAGTAATAGATAAGCAAATAGATGGAATGATGGCTGAATATATTGAGGAAACAATTAATGTATATGATAGATGGATAAATGATACAAATTGATGACAGTACAAGATAGATAAATAGATCATTTGGGTGGGTAGGTGCATGAATAGATGAATAAGTGGATGCATAGATGGAAAAATCATAAATAGATATGTACATTTATCATTTCAGTAGAAGAATGGATGGATGGAGAGATCATAGTTATGATAGATTAAATAGATAGATAGATAGATAGATAGATAGATAGATAGATAGATAGATCATTTGAGTAGGTATATGGGTGGATGGATGGATGGATGGATGGATGGAGAGATCAAGACAAATGTGATAGGTAGGTAGTAGACAGATAGACAGAGATAGATTGCTCATTTGAGTAGGTATATGGATGGATGGATGGATGGATGGATGGATGAATGGAGAAATCATAAATAGATACATACATTGATCATTTGAGTGGATGGATGGATTGATGGAGAGATCAAAACAAATGTGATAGATAGATAGATAGATAGATAGATCACTCAATCACTTGTATAGGTGGATGGATGGGGAGATGGATGGATGGATGGATGGATGAATGGATGGATGGATGGATGGATGGTTGGATGGATACATACATAGATCATTTGAGTGGGTGGATGACTTGATTGATGGAGAAATCATAGATGTGATAGATAATGATAAAGGAATGTACAGCAGATAGATGGAATGATGGATAGACAAAGGAATAATTACAGAAGAGATGATAATGAGATAATCATCATAGATAAGAGAGATTATGATGATGATAGATGGGTAGGATAAACAGATCACAGATAGATGAACTAAATTATATGCTCATACATACAGAGACAGAAAGAAGCACGGATGGATGCATAGATGGCTGGGTAGATGGGTGGATGGATAAGCTAAACAGAACACAGATGACATATATCATACACAAACAGACAACAAGATGCTTATACAGAATTTCCGAATGTACACACTTTGCTGTTGATAAAAGATTTTCATTCTACTTTTAAAAAGTATAATGATATGTACTCAGATTTTTGTCACTGTGCCAAACACTTGAAGTAATCAGGTTAATAAGAGAGAAGATTTATTTGGCTCACAATTTCAGAAGTTTCAATGCATAGTTGGTTAGCCTTATGGTCTTGATCCTGTGGTGGTCTATCATGGTGGGAGGGCATGGTAAAGTAAAATCTCTCACTTCATGGTGAGGAGAGAACAAGAGGAAAAGGCTAGATCCCACAATCCCTTTCAAGTCCATTTTCTGCCCCCTCACTTCCTGTGACCTCACTTCCTGTGACCTCACTTCCTGTCACTAGGCCCTCCCACCTCCCAACAGTGAGAAGCTGAGAAACAACTTTAACACATGGGCCATGAGGGATCCAAACTGGAAAATTTTGTCATAATTTGTCTAAGGACATATCTCCAAAAGAAAATAAAAAAGACAGAAAGAAAATCTACTTGAGTGTTTGTACAGAATTTTGTGCCTATTAAAGTGGCTAAGTGATTTTACACTAAAGTTTTTGCTTGCTTTGGTTTTCTTGGTTATCTTTTGGGGCACTGCAAAGTTGGTTTTCTTTTCTTCTGCCATTATGTGGCTAATAAGTTGCTATTTGTGGGATAAAATGTGAAATATTACGGGGAGCTATGGGTGGAAAACCTGGATCATAAAACAGTTGGATAGAACATGTTTTCTGGGATGTGGATTTAGAAGGTTGCCTTCCATCCAGGGCATTTACTGAAACTAAAGGTCTCATCCATCTGTGTCCTCAGGGAAGTGGCACCTTGGGATAAACTGTTACAACACAACTGACTTTTGCCACCACCCTTTACGCCATGGCTTCGATTACTTCTATGGGTTTCCTATGACCAACTTGCGGGACTGCAAACCCGGGTCAGGCTCAGTCTTCTCCAAAGCCTACTGGAGGTTGGTGTTCTTCCCGTGGCAAATCCTAGGGGTCACTGTGCTCACACTGGCCGTGCTCCGCTTCCTGAGGCTGATCCATGTGCCCATTTGGGTCTTCATTGCCCTCTTCCTCCTGGTGGGCCTGATCGTCTCCCCGTTCCTGTGTTTCTTTCACTATTTCCGGCCCTTGAACTGCTTCCTGATGCGGAACTATGAGATCAGGCAACAGCCTGTGTCCTTTGAAAACCTCACTCAGAGGATGACACTGGAAGCCACCAGGTTCATACGAAGGTGGGTGTCCCCTGTTCTGCTCAGGATACTCTTTGGTTTTTCAAAATGAAATGACAGGAAATTAGCAATGGTTGCTATATTGCCTATTGTTATCTTCAAAATAGTAGCTGAGATGACCAGACACAGGCATGCAAGACTGATTGAACAGGATAAGTGCTCACTGTTCCTTTCAAAGAACTAACAGAATGAGTATACGAGTATCTTAGCTGTGTGTGTGTGTGTGTGTGTGTGTGTGTTTGTGTGTATTTCCTTTCCTTTTCTTTTCTCTTTTCTCCCATCACAGTTCTTTCCTTGTGAGCAGTTTCTTTCCTTTTCACACTATCTGATGTACCTTTTGGATCTTACTCTTATAGTTTTTTCCAATAGGGAGACAATATGATGTTTACCCATGTGAGTCTGATTTATTTCAGACTTATGAATCTGATTTCTCATCCCATCTATTTACCTATAAGAGCCTTGAGTTTATCTTTCTTTATAACCAAGTAGTACTCCATTGTATAGCAATACCACACATCTGTTTTATCCATTCCTCAGTTGATAGACATTTGGGTTGTTTCCAAGATTTAACTGTTACTAATTGTGCTGCAATAAACATGGGTACACATATATCATTGTGGTGTGATGTTTTCATTTCTTCTGGGATAATTCCCGGAAGAGAAATAGCTGAATCAAAAGGAACCTTCGATCCAAGTTTTTTGAGGAATCTCCACACTGATTTCCACAGTGGTTGCAAAATTCTACAGTGCCACCAGCAGGGAAGAAGGGTTCCTTTTTCCCCACGGCTCCGTCATCATTTGTTACAAGATGATTGTTTTGATCATAGCCATTCTTTCTAGGGTGAGAAAAATCTTAGTGTTGTTTTGTTTTGTATTTCTCAGAGAGTTCATGCACAAAAACCAAATTCCACAGGAAATACTTCAAAGAATCAGCAACTGGGATTTCATATTATTAAAAAGTTTCCATACCTCGAAAGGGATCCCAACAGAGTGAAAAGAAAACCCATGAGTTGGGGAAAAATTTTAACCAACTGTCCCTCAGATGAAGGACTTCTATCTAGAACATATAAAAATTAAAATAATTCAGGAACCCCCCCAATTCAAAGACCCAATCCAAAAATGGGTGTCTGCAATGAATATTACTTCTGAGATGAAGAAAGACAAATTGAAAATAAATATATGCATTCATCTCAGATACCCATTTTTGGATTGGATCTTTGAATTTTGAAGGTCTGGTTTTTTAAAATTCTTTATATGTTTTAGACAGAAGTCTAAGGGACAGTTCACTAAGATTGTTTCTCAGTTTGTAAGTTTTCACTATGCTAAAGATTTCTTTTGATGTGCAGAAACTTTTAAATAAGAAGTGATCTCAGTTGTTGATTCTGGGAAGTATTTCCCATGTGGTTTGATTCCTGTTCATGAATTCTCTACCTACCCCTTTGTCTTCAAGGTTTCTACCCAACTTGTCTTGTTTAGTGTTTCTGTTTTCGTATTCAGATCTTTGACCCATTCAGACTTTAATTTAGTTGGCTAGTTGGTTCTGAATGCCCTGTAATACTTGCATTCTCTTGAATGGTTTTACACTGTCTTTTTATGTTTAATACCAGAGTGTATGAAGGTATACTCAAATATTTCAAGGAAAGAGACACTATGGTAGCTACTGTTATGTCGGATTGTCTTGTGTTGAAATACTATGTTGCTTAAATTGTTCTGTTCTGACCTGTGTTGTTATATCCTCTTTTCTCTTAATCTTTTTTAAAATAAAATAAATAAAAAAGAAAATAAATATGAAAAGCAGGCTCTTACTAACTGAATCTTGCTTGTTCCCAAGCAAGGTGGAAAAAACTGTATGATTACTGTCATGCTACTGTCCTTTCCATACTGCATGGGTCTCTCACCAAGACTGGCTGCTGTAGGGATGCAGGGAATGACAGGGAACACATTTAAAGAAATTGTGATGCTATGAAGCTCTGATTCAAGTAGTTTTGCCTGTACCTCATGTCCTGTACTTCTGAGGCAATTTCATGCAAAATATCTGCTACCCACAGGGTCCTGTGTCACCCTGCTCATTAATCCTCAGTATGGCAAACTGGTACAGAAAACTAATGGCATTTATTAAGTCCCAGAGATTATCCTTGGAGTATGAGTAACATAGAGAGATCCAGAATATTTTACGCTAAAATTTGAGCCAAAAAATTGTGTGAGTAAACTGGGTTAAGTGGATTATTTCTCTAGTGTCATTAAATAGCTTTTGATCATAGTTATGAAGGTTGAATTTAGCAAATGGAATATCTGCCAATGGAAAAATAGACAAAGTTGTGAGTTATATGAACAGGTACCTATAATATATTACAGAATCCATAGAGACCTCTTAGTTTTCTGTCACTGTAATAAAACACCCGGAATGTTCAACATAGAGAAAAAAGGAAAGATTGATTTCCACTCATAATTACTGAGGTTTCAATCTTCCTTTGGTTCAGTCCATGGCTGTGGATATGTTTTGAGGCTGAAGCATCATGGAAGAAGGGTGTGGTGGATCAAAGCTGCTCACTTCATGGCATCCAGGAAACAGAGAGTTAGAAAATCGCAGAGGAAGGGGAATGAGACAAAACTCACCTTTCAAACCATGTCCTTAGTGGCTTACTTCATCCAATCAGCCCCCTCTCTTACTAAGTCCATTATGCTGCGAACTCATTAATGGGTAAATCCATTGTACAAAGTTGGAGCCCTCACTGATACATCTGTAAATTTACTAATTTGCTGGGCATTTCCCATGCCAGTCATACTGATAATCAAATGAGGCCAAAGAAATAGAATTAAATAGGTAGACTGTTGGGGCTATATAGGAATAATTGCTATTCAAAAGAGGCAAATAGACACATATTTTTTATGTTTTCTATTTGTAACTTAGGAGAGAGTACTTTGAGGAGAAATGGAGCCTCAAGGGAATGTGTCAGCATGTGGAAGGACCTGAGTTCCGTGCCCTGCTCCACAAAATTAAAGAGAAATAGAAATTTTACCTGAAAACTGGACCTCTGGTCTTTACAGCAACTTTTAGGAATATTTGAGAGATACTTGCATAATATAAAGATGATAAGAGACATAGAACTCATCATACTGATGAGAATTAAATTGCGTTATGCAAAAGTATGAAGCCAAGCAATGAAAGGGAAGTTCTTATGATGGCAGTTTGTGCTAAGAGACATAAATCCAGAGTGAAAGTTGAAGCTAAGCATTTTTAGGTGTGTGAGTGCTACATAGTTATGGGCTGGGGAGAAAAGTAGAGCATGGCTCACTCCAGACATTGTCACTTCCTGGTGTGGAAGTCTCTATGTTCCCTCATCAATATCTTGTGTGCATAAAGAGTCTTCTCTCCAAAATCAAGAGTGTTTAGCAAGTCCCTCAACCATTATTTTTGTAGTTATAAGAGTCAGTAGAAGTAATCTGTTCATGATAATACAGATGTGATGCGGTATCTTTCACATCACTGATTTTGCAATAGATACAGTATTGAATCTATTTTGTAAACCTTTCTTATACATTATTTGGTATAGGAATAAGGTATACATGCTCTTTAGTTGGGTGTCTGCTGTGGTTTCAATATTGTTGGTATCTTCCTAAGGTCAGCGTGGTAGACTTGGTACACAGGATGACAGTGTCAAGGTGATGGGACACAGGCACAAGTAATTAGGTCACAAAGTGGCATTAATTTTCTGGACACACCTGGATGTCTCTGTATTATTGTCCACCTCCAGCAACCTCTCAGAAACAGGCAGTGTAGAAATTAATACTTGTTATACAAAAATGATGTTCTGAGACAACTCTCGTGTGTTTTGGCAGAAAAGATTTAGTCATATGAACATATTATTGTGAGGCATTCAACAGTCTCCTTGGGAGGACTTTGAGAGGTTACCAAAAATTTTTATTGCCATAGCATATTCAAGCCTGATCAGAGTAGTGATTATATAGAGTTTTCTATAATTTTCTCCTAGAACCAGATATTTAAGATATTCTAGCCACACCATAGTTGGAGGCTATGACTATTGAGTTAAAATGAGTGTTTCCCCCCAAAATAGATGATTCTCAGTATAAAGAGCAATGATCCACACTGGAGCAATGTATAATAAGTACAAGTGAACATAGTAGCATTTGTGCACCATCATGCTAGTCATGAAAAGCTTCTTACTTGCATTTCCTGAAAATAAGGTTACAGACAACAAGGCAAAAGCCAGTCTTAGATAAAAGTGTCTTCCTGTGTTGTCTGAATTATCCACTTGATCGCATATAGTATCCAGGAGGCAGACATTACCTTCCCAGATTGTAGAAGAATCGTAATGGGACAAGAGAGGAGAAAGAGTCCAAGGTGTAGCAGGCAGGAAGTACTGGCAATTAAGGAAAAAGAAAACAAATTTAATAATATATAACCGATCAGTGAGGTAATCCAATACTACATACCCATGATCTGGTCACCTCTCCAAAGCTCCACCTCTGCGTGTATGAAACTTTGGGGGGACACCTAAATATAAGCCATAACAGCAAAATCAGCACAAAAGCTCTGTATCCAGAACTGCTTGCATGAAACAGGTATCTTAAGGCTGAGTTCAGGACCAGCCTGGGCTACACAGGGAGATTCTGTCTCAAAAACAAGCAAAACAAAACGTGTTCATGTGGTAAAAACAGCATGGTCTGAGATGTGGAAAAGTGAAATAATTAACAGTCTATGCAGGGTTAGTTCAACTTCACAGTTCTTCATAGGGAAAGATTGAAAAATGGTGATTTTTGCATGATCTAATAGCAAAATTTTCAGCCCTCCAGAGTCAGAAGTTTCCTCCAGGTTTCTAAAAATCAGTTTAGGTACCTGCTACCATTGTGGTCTGCTTGCTAGAGATGTTCTTTGAAACAAACCTAGGGAGAGTCTAACAACATTGTTTGGCTACCTATCGGATTATGACAGGTGATTCTTCACAATTCAACTGAAAGCAAGTAACTAAAAGCAAACGAAAT